CATAATTATTGGAAGTTACTCATACCAAAAGTCATGCTCTCCAAGAGTCATGATCCATATGAAAAGACACATCTTTTCATCTACATTCTCTAGAATATTCCACAATATTCTACACAATTCCAATAATTTCAAGTATTAAGTGGTTTAAGTTTGGTTTAATTTCTCATTCACCAAACAAGGAATTTCCACTTAAATCATTTCAATTGGTCACAACCAATTTCCAATACAAAATTCCAACACCCTTTCCATTTGTGGCTAAAGATATGGACATAGTGAGTCTGTGACTGAATTGTAACAAAGTAAGTTTGTGATGAATTTGAAATAAAACGAAGTTTAATGATCAATGTGAAATTTCGCTGAAAGTTTATTGATCACCAATGTATATTAGCATCTGAGAAACACTTTACGGCAGGGTATAGGTCCTTAGTGGTTGTGTGAAAAAGACAGCTTGATGTTGAGTGAAAAATCTATAGCTCTTTTGATTGATTGTCATGGAGTAAAAATTAAAAAGACGAGACTAAGGATTCATTATTATATATTATTTAAACATAGAAAGTAGAAGTGACGGTAAAAAGTCAAAATTTATTTTCAATATTTCCCCAATGGAGGAGAGGGTTTAGTGAGGATAATAATAATTTGTGTGTGGAGCTATCTAACTTGTAAGCTTAAGAGAGTGAAAAATAATTGAGTATGAAGATAGAAGCAGAATTCAAAGAGAGCTTGCTGAAGGAAAAGTATTGAGAAAACCATTGACTACTAGCTTATTCACTTTTAGCACTTCCATAATTTTGTTTCCCTTATAAGGTTCTTTAATTTTGATAGGTCATTTTAGTAGGTGTTAAAGAGAATACCTGAGTATATGGGTTTTGTTGTGTTTGCACATTCCTTTTTGGGAATAACCTAAACTTTAACCCATAGAAGAAATCTGAAGGCGACTCAATAATTTAGAGGCGATATTACTGGCACTGCCATGGTGCTTCTGCGCTTTAATGTATTACTACATATTGCGAAGCCGACACAGAGATGGCTTGTTTTGTGCCTAGGGAGTCTCTCTTTATCCACAGATAAATAATGATTTCCCAATTCACCCAATGGCTGCTGTAGTTAGAAACTTTTTCAAACGCAAGGAAGTTTGATATTGAGCTTGAGCATCCCATTAGTAGAAAATTGAAAAATTGAAGAAATGCTTATTTGGAAGGTGATGAGGCAGCTAGTTTGAGTCAGACCTGAAGCTGACCACATCTTTAAAATCCTTGAACGTGGGAGCTTCGATGTCAATTGAGGATTCAGAAGAATGCTTACTGAAAGTTCTATTTCCTGTCACTTGATGTCCACTTTTAGATGCTCGTTACCAATCTCCAAAAACTGTAGCTTACTAATACTATCATTACTATGTATAAATTCTCTCATTTTTATTTGGTCAGGCCAGAGCCCTGATAGAATGGCATAAGGTAGCTCGTTTTTGTGGATTCTGTGGAGGTAAGACTATCCCTATGGAAGCTGGGAGACGGAAGCAATGCTCAAATGAGTCTTGCAAAAAGAGGATTTATCCTCGAGTTGATCCAGTATGTGATGTGACTTTTCTTTCTCGTTAGCTGAAATTTTGATATGTCATATGGATCATTCTCTGATTGTTGTAACGAACAGGTCGTGATTATGTTAGTCATAGATAAAGAAAATGACCGTGTTCTATTAAGTAGACAGTCAAGATTTGTGCCTCGCATGTGGAGTTGCCTTGCTGGCTTTATAGAGGTATGTGGTTGGTCCTTCCATTTTATTGAGCCACTTTTTATACCCTGAATTGAGGAACTTTTTTATCTAATCATATCAATCTGGGGAAGCAGTTTATAATGTTTATTTCGGTTATACACATCGATTATCATATTCCAATGTTGAAATGTTCCCACTGTAATTTTGTCGTTTTGTCTCCTTGCACTTTCCCCTTTATTCTTTTTCCATTCTTTTCTATAATATGACTATACTTAATTGTCATCAGCCAGGAGAAAGCTTAGAAGAGGCAGTGAGGAGAGAAACATGGGAGGAAACCGGCATTGAAGTTGGTGAAGTTGTATACCACAGTTCTCAGCCATGGCCTGGTACGGTTAGGTTTGCCGTGTTCCATTTTCCTTGCTATTCATATTTTCAACTTTTGTTATGGTTGATTTTGTAAGATGACGATTGCGACTTGGTTTGATATAAATTAGCAATTGAATAAAAATAGACCTCAAGACAATAGAACATACAATAATTTTGGCTTGTGACTAGCAGAAGAATTAGAGCTATGAGAGACTTGGGTATTACTCCGGCCTACACATTAGGGGGCATGTTGAAAACAATATATAAATGATATACACTTGGCCCAAATAACAGCCTAAGCTTTTAGATAAAGTGTTTCCACACTAATTATATTCCGCTAAATTTTGCTGCATCTATTTGCCCCCTCTCTAATAGTTTAAATTTTTAAATGAGGCAGATAATTAGGTAAACATTATATTAGAACAAGGAGATCATTAGTTCAAGTCTTGCCGCCATCCATTATTAGAAATTTTGCATGTGTTAGACGTTTGATAAAAAATGAACCCAGCCTCTTGAGAAGTGTGTTGAAGACAAAAATAAATGAATATATACTCTACCCACTTAAGCTTTAAATAAGGTGTCTTTTTGGACACTACACGTGCATACCTTTTATGGCTTGTTTCACGAGGTGGAGCATCCGGACAGCATTGTATAATAGAAAGAAGGAAAAAAAAATATAGTTCATAGTACTGGTCAATATAATTACACCTGTGTATGGTAACGGTGCAATTTTACCCCTATCTTTGAATGTATGAATTAACAAATTTATGATAAAATGAAAGTAAACAAGTTTGGCAAAATAAGAACACTCTCAGCTTCCCAATCATTATGGAAACTAGAATGCTCTAATGCCAGTTTGTTGTGAAAAGATAAGAGATTAAGCTACAATATGAAATAAAGATCACAAGAAGACAAGAATAAAATAATTTTGCAGAGAATAGAGATTTTATTATTATATATAGAGAAATAATAGAAAGATTATGTGTTTATGATTTGTCCGACAACTTCTAACTTTTCACTAAATCATAATGAAGAGTCAACTATATATAGTGAACAAATCGGGGACATTTAAACCCTTATAGTAGAGTTGTAAATGAAGTAGAATGCCAAAAAAAAGTCCAAAACGAAAGGGAGATCAAAACAGCGAAGGGAGTAGAACAGGTGGCACCGCAACTCCACTCTTCAGGCGTTGCAGCGCCAGGGTTGGCGCTGCTGTTAATATTTACAGTTGCGGCGCCTAGGCGCAGCTACTAGGCTCTTCGTCTCCGACCTAAACTCATTCCAATGATATTTTTCTTTATACCAAAGTTTTTTCAAGTTCAACACAAATTCCTACTCCCAATGGACTTCCAAGTAGAATTTCAATTATAATTTGTCAAGAAGACTTGAATAGGATTTCGAATTGCATTCCGAATATGATTCTAGTTAATGTGCACTTTAATTAAAATTTTCAATTTTCTTCAACAAAGAATTCGAGTTACACTCAAATTCTAACAATACAAGACAATCTAAAACTACATGACTGCTAATCGGCTCGTAATAATTGTATATTTAAGCATCATTAGGAGCTAGAATTGGAGAATGCTCCTCGACGTTTCAGTTACAAGACTAGAAATATAAAAAAAAATTAATTTCTTTTTGCTGGTAGTGTGAGTTTGAATCCCCCCCCCCCCCAGCATGTCATGCTTTGTTTTTGGAACCAAAAAGTAAGAGGAAAGACAAAAAACATTGAAGATTAATACTAAACATAATATATCTTCTCAAACATATCAAAATCTTGGTGTGATTATATATACATTGCCCTTAAAAGGGCTCTGAGGAACATCCTAATTAAGATGTATGCTATAAAGTTTCAAGAGAACTGAATATTTCAACTGAAGCTAAACTAAAGGAAATGATCCTATTGTTGAGTGCTAGGAAGCATGAACACTTTGGTAAGGGCAAACCATGTTGTGGAAAAAAAAAATTCATATTATGTAAGGCATTTTTTAATTTGTAGTTAACATGTATTTACATTTTTATAGTTGGCTAGTTGCACATATTTCACATTAGTCCTGTAAATTCGATTTGCAAATAATGGAAATGGGGTTTACTAATCCAAGTGGATTGTAGATTTTCACTGCATCTTGTTTTAGCGCCGACGTATTTTTACTTGGTATCTCCTCAGTTGGGCCCAGCAGCATGCCATGCCAGTTAATGGTTGGGTTCTATGCATATGCCAAGTCTTTGGAGATAGACGTGGATAAGGAGGAGTTAGAAGGTACTTTTGTTATACTTATGGATTCTAAATGAACTTTCCCTTTCTATATTTTTATTTTATACCACAACAAATTTCTCTCCTGCCAGTTTGATGAAAAATTAATCAACAGATTAACCATACTGTATAACCACACTCAGTCTTACACTTCCCACGCGCACGTGCAAAGGGGTAGTCCATGTGCATGTCCAAATTAATATCCACCCTCGGGTGCCCAAAGACACTTCCCTACTGTCAAATCATGTGGTGGTTATCTTAAAAAAATTTCCTTTTCTCAGACGCTCAATGGCACACTCGAGAAGATGTAAAGAAGGCTCTTGAATTTGCTGAATACAAGAAGGCACAGAAGACAACAGCAACTAGAGTAGACCAAATGTGCAAGGGGGTTGAGAAAGGGCAAAACTTGTCTGCAAATTTCACTGTCGAAAGTGGGGAACTTGCTACTATGTTTATCCCAGGACCATTTGCAATTGCTCATCATCTCATCTCTTCATGGGCCAATCAAGTTGATGATGATGGTGATGGAGCACAGATGAAACAAGCTGGCAATTCGTTCTCAAGCTTGTAGTTTCAGAACAAAACAATTGGCAATTATGAATGTTCGAAAATCGTACTGTTTTATGCACGTGTCGACCTGTAAATCCTATTATTCCTTTTAACAATGTTGTTTCCTAGAGAATGTGTATCTTTTACATTCAAACTTTAAAATCCAATCATCATTTACGAAATCCATTTTATATCTCTTTTTCCTTATAAGGGATAAGACGATATAGTTTACTTTACCAAGCAAGCCGTAAAAGTTTGTGATTTAAGTTACGATTTTTATATGCAGTTGACGAAGATTTGCTCAAGTAGGCAAGACTGTGTCACACATAGCCCAAAGTCGAGTAGTGACATTGAATATGCTTTAAACTATCTCCATGTGTATGTTTACCTGCTCATTATATTATGTACAGATTTGCTTCTCATCTCTATGGAGGAAGTATATGCACATATGGTGGAACTTGAACATTTGTTATATTTATACCTTGGTATGTCCTGTTAAATTTCTATGCTTATTTGCATCAGAGTGCTCATTTGATTGTCGATCGACCTAAAGAGTCCATAGGGTCGAGACATCTCTTAAGAAGAGGATCATCTCGAGGCAGAAGAGAAGTCCTTGGAACTCGTCCAAACAAAAGATGAACATATTCACACCTCGAATCGAAAGAGTTATAATTGCAATTCTTGAAAGATTGCTTGCTCCTTCAATGTTGTTATTGTTCAGTGATTCAATCGCAGGCATAATCACATGCTCCATTGTTGGCTTATCTGGCAGCACATCCTCCAAGCGTGGAAATGAAATGCACCAAACTACGTAACAAGTCTCTTGTAATAAAAACTGTCGTATTGGACAGTTTAATAAATAGGATTTTAACTTCTTTTTTGCTATTTAATCTGCTCAGGTGTTCGCTTATTCTGGATCATCTTTTAGCAGCTTACCAAAGCGACACAATAAATAAGAGAACTAGTACACAAGTTCGTCCTAGCGTCTAGGGCAGCTTAAACAAAAAGATTCTAGATTGTGACTTGAACTGAAAACATAACGTCTTTGGATAGGACTTGGGAATGAATCTCTCGAGTATAGGAAAATTATGTTATTCTTAGTACGCAGGATTTAGAACTAGACTTTGCAGAGGTTTGCTATTTTTTTGCAACTAAATTTCGACCTCCATTAGATAATTACTCCGACCAAAGTAGTGATAACATATATAATGCCCATTTGACATGTCTTTTGAAAAATCAGAAGGAGTTTTTAAAATTCAAAAGTTTGCTTTAGATTCATTTGGTTAATTTTATGAAAGTGATTCTTCCAGTTATAAGAGCATTTGGAGGAAGCTGATCCTAGTGAAACTTCCTCTAAAAATACTTTCGAAATAGAAAATTCTTTTAAAATTTAGTTTTCAAACAAAAATTAAGATAACTTCTTTCAAAGGCTTTTCTACATGAAACAAAAGAGAAAGTTTTGCGAAATAGGCCCATCTCAACCCCGGCCCACATAATGATCGGCCCTATTTACCAAGACGGGCCCTGGATTACTAAAACGAATTAGGCCCTACATGGTCTGGTACAAAACACTAGTTGGGCCGGACCAGCTAGCCCACAAGTACAGGCCCAATTTTGCTGAGACCTTTTACTGCGATTGCTCCAAAATTCAGGTTCCTCTTACACGTAAAACCTCTCAGTAACAGTGGAGTTTGACGAATCTGAAAACCCTCACTGAAGACTAATTTCACTGAAACAGATAAAAGAATGGCATTTTTTCTCAAAGGACTGAGCAAGGCTGCACCGATCGCATTCGGCGGCACCAGTTTCCGCGTGCCTTTTGGAGCTCTTGCCGCGATTTCTGGTGGCTTCTCGTATTATTACTACTTTTCGTCGCCAAATTTGGTATTATCTCAATCCAATTTCATTTTTGTTTGATAATGTCGACTGTAAAAGTGGTGGCTTTGAATTTAATATATAATTTCATTTTGTTGATGCTGTTATTTGAATTAGTGTATTTTTGATCTTGAAATTCTCTTGTTCTAGTTCTATGGATTTTGCTTTAATATGAAACAGTGTAAAACTTGTGATGGCGAGTGCTCTGTAATGTACTCATTTTCCGCCGAATTACTTGTTATTTATTACCTGATACCATTTTCAACCACTCATTCACGTAATAAAATATTCTAAATGTATGCCATAAACTTTTCCCTACTTTTTAACCACAAGTTCTCCTAAAAATCACTGTTCAAAACTTTTTTCTACCAAAATGGTTGTCAAACACACTTAATATGGTGGAATGATCAAATCCCATTTCCTGGATATTATTTTTTCTGGCTTAGATAATTTTGTATAATGTCGTATTCTTTTTAATTCAGGTTTATTTAGATCAGCCCAGTGAAGATACTTCTCCAAAAGTTGGTGGGTTCTCCTATCCTTTCTACAATTGTTAATAATTTCAATCTCGATTCAAGTCTCTAGTATTTCTTGTGGTGATTAAATCCAAATCTAAGTCAATTACAATGCTGTAACAGTATTTGTACTTGCAACTGGGATGTATTGGCTAAAGCAACTTTTTCTCTTTATACAAATGCACTTGGTTAGCAACTCATAAGAATGAAGGTATCTACACTAGCAACATGGGCTTGCATAACTCTTCTCACATTGAAGGTTGTGGAGTAAGGAGTTTATCCCTTGAGAGGTGCAGTGTGAAGACCACAAATTCTGCACCTTTGAACTTGGATTAAAACAAAAAGAAAAAAAATTCGAAGATATAATATGGACCAGTATTATTGTAAAAGATTTCTGTCCTTGAGCCTTGAGATATATCTGATGCCGGCATGCCGTACTTTGAAGTGAAGTGACTTTGTGGTTTATGATATTGACTTTTTTTGCTAGATTTAAGTAAACTTTTATTTAAGGAGCTGTACACAAAACATGCATTAAAATCTGGACTAGTTGATTCCTCTACAAACCTTACTGTAAGTAGTTCAGAAGCATCAAGCTTTGGAATTCAGGGAGAGGCTTATGGAGCCAAAGAATGTCTACAAGTTCATCCTTTTACTGTTACATCCATAGACAAACCGGGAAGGTCGAAAATCAAGTTGTGAATATGACCTCTAGAATTCATTTTTGACTATGTAGAAATCACTTGAGTTTTTTATTTTTGGTTTCGATTATTTTGTTGAACTCAGTTAGAATATGCTAGGTTAGGGAGATTTCTTCTTTAGTCCTTGGCCTATATCTCACGAGCCATTTCGCTCGCAGACATTCGTATAATTTGTCTAAACAAATTCATGTAATTGGACACTTCGATGGTAAGGCATGTAGCTGAAAGCCATAAATCGTTTGATGAAATTTTATGACAATGTTATTGTTCTTTATTTTCAGCACTAAATCCTGACAAATGGATTGAATTCAAACTTCAAGACAAGGCACAGGTCAGCCACAATTCTCAGTTATTCAGGTTAGCTTATTGTGCTTTCTATTTATCAAATACCTTATGGTTCTTTAAAATTATGATGGTAGACAAGACAAGGCACACGTCATTTTGTTTGTATGAATATGCCTTGTGAGTTGTATCTTAACTGTGTGAAAAAGGAAGTCTGGAGCTGTGTTAGTGCTGGATGAGAGTAAACTTCTAGAAAGGAGGCAGGTGTAATTTCTGGTTTGGAATGTGAATACTTTGAGGAGTAATGACATTAAATGTATTATTTTATGCAATCTAGTTCAGAGCAGAAACATCCTGAGACATTGTAATTCGTAGGGCATGTAGTGGCTTTTTGGGCAAAGAAGATTCCTTAATTTGTAAATGCTAGAAAGAGGATTCTTCAAACTTTAAGGTCTATATGCATTTATTATTCATTATTAACGTAGCACATCTCCTTCTTCTTGATTGGCTAAACTGTGAAGGTAATTAATGGATTTTCATTTGCCCTCTTTTTTCTCTTGAACCATTCTGGTGACTGCAAAGGAAAAAAATTAGTAGTTTCTCTTGTCAATTGTGTTCGTTATGCATTCATCATCATACCTAGAACTTAGTGTGATCTATTAAAACATGCAGTATCTAGGATTCTTACCATATTCCGTAGAACTTATTAACTGAAATTTGTAAAATCTAGGTATGGGATCTACTTTAATACTTGATCAATTGCAATATTTTTACAGATGTTAATGCAAAAGAGATTATTAGCAGATATCTTTGCTCTATTGTAATGTAAGTATATTTAAGCATTCTTTTGTTCTAATATTCCAGGTTTTCATTTGATCCCACTGCAAAGTTAGGTCTTGATGTTGCATCCTGCATTATTTCGAGGTACATTCGGCTACACTCAAGAATTTTAAGTATGATTATGTTCTACCAGCCTCAACAAGGTTATGAGTTGTGGTGGATTTGACCATAACATTGATGGCTAAAGAGGTTAGGGAAAAAGATTGAAGATTTTATATGGTTGCTAAGAAAGGTTTGGGTGCCAAATAAAAACTGTTCACAAAGATGGTGAATAGTACTTTTGCTAGAACCTAAGAACTCTTATGGTTTCTCAATAGGCTTGCTTGGATATACATCCGCAGAAGTTTGATTCTGTTATATGTTCTCCATTGAAGGTCTCATAGGCAGGGGCGAACCCAGAATTTTTTTCCATTGGGGGCAGTATTAATAAAAGTTAAAAAAAAAAAACATTATAACACAAATATTATACTAAAATGAAATACCATACAATTGTTCTTTACGAGTTTTCATACTTTGATATCTTTGTACAATCACCTCATTATCAATTTTTAAGAATATATTTTTCTCCACATAAACAATAAGACTATCATTCATCCACTCATCTCCAATTCGATTGTGTAATCTGTCCTTCACAATGTCCATGGTAGAAAATACTCTCTCTACCGTAGCAGTAGCAACCGGAAGAATTGATGCCAAAGTCAAAAGCTTGTAAATCATTGGATATGCTCTGCTCTTATTTGTCAAAACTAACTTCTGTGCGGGAGCACCGAGGCCATTCAATTCTTCAAACTCTTTGCTAGAGAGGACATAAAAGATGTAATTATCAAGTTGATCATCAAGTGTGAAGAGATCTACTTTAAAAAAATCTTGTGGATAAAACTTGGCAAGTTGAATCAACTTTCTTTNTCAGAATTTACCTCCGATAAATGATCATTCAATTCTTGAAGTTGCATATCTATGACAGACTAGAATAAATCTACCCGAAAGTGATGCAAGTTGGTAATTTGTGGAGGATTACGATGAGAGCGACCACCATGTGCAGAACGCATAAACATAGCATTCATGTTTGGAGCATTAATATAATGATGCTGACAAAAAGAAATATGTTGCAAGAAAGAATCTCACCCATCATCTTTCATAAGTTGGGAGTCTTTTTTTGCAAACTTTCACCATGTCCATTGTCTTGACAATCGTCTGGATTCTTTTCCTTTAAATTGTCTTTTCTTAAATTCATGGTTAAACGTCTGACAAGGATCCTTTTACATATATGCTCTTCGAACTTGATCTCTAATCTTAGAATTGTAATTCAAGATTGGAGTCCTTAATCCAAGATCGGTGTGCAACATCAAAATCGTCTCCATTTGACGTCTCCTCATTAACATTTTCAGCAACCTCATGAGCTTTTTTTTTATAAAATCTTTACATGACTGTTTGTAATAAATATGAATTGGAATGTAAATAAACAAAATAAAATATGGAATATCAGTGATGTGACATTATATCACTGATGTTCTATCATAAATAGCATTACTCATAGAAATAAGGTTTAGCCCCTTTTTGTCTATCATTATTTCAAAAAATTGTTTGCTACAATAAGATTCTCCACCACACATTCACCCAATAAAATATTCTACACACAAACCAATAAAGTTCTTAATTTTTCAATTAATTTCCTTAATTTTTCAATTAATATTTCAAAAAAATATGGAAGACAAACACACCCTTAATTTTTTCAATTAATTTCCTCAATTTCAGACTTTCGATACTCTATATGTTTGGAAAGAGTTTCATCACAGGGGCGCAGAAGAAGCATCCATAGATAACAAAGTTAATCGAGCAACATATTCATTGACAGTGAAGGAACAAGCTGAAATGTCGTAGTCAGTCAACAAATTATCTCAAAATACCAAGCAAAAGCACCATCCTGTAACAAACATCCTCCTCAATAGTTATCTCTAAATACCAAACTATTCATTGATCTCTCATCATCTCTTGGTTTCAAAATTTTCCCTAAACTCAACCATCCTTTACCCTTTACTGGTTGAGAATATATTTCACATACTCTTCCCAGGATTTCGTTCAAGAAAATCTTACATTAAAATCTACTTTCATAGCACAGAGTTCAAAGATGAATTGAAATTATGATTTCACTTGCTATTTATTTTATCTAGGTTTTCACACATTTCCATAAGAAGTGATGCATCATCAAATATCTTATTCTCAAAAAGTGATTAATGCATTGTTATACAAGCAGATGAAGTTATGTGTGTCTACAGGAAGCCAGGAAGCAAACCTTCTTGCCTACATCCATTAAGAAAAGTAAGAAAGTGTTCAATAAGCAATAAACGAAAGATTAAACAAAAAATTTCTTGGTTTTCTAGTATAGACTACATTGAAGGAGCAAGAAAGTAAAAAATCATTTGGAACAGTACAAACATGCTTCATTGAAAAATAATGGTAGTATAAACTTTAGAACTACAAAATTAAGTTGAAGGCACTGCAATAGCAACAGAAAAATCAATAGCAGATGAATACCAACAAAACTTTTTGTTATTCCTCCCGCAATAGTAGATGAATACCAACAGAAAAATCACCTACAGACTATCGAGTACTGATGAACGCTGCTGGGCCTGATTTAGACTTCAGACCACCAATCCACCATTAGCATCAACAATCAAGTAACTACGTAGCCCAAGTGATGCTGAAACTGTGAAATAGTTATCAATTGATTAATAGGTATATAGTTGAAGATAAATTAGGGGGATACAATCAAACGACGGGGTAGAAGAAGATTACAAAAAATTATCCGATAATTACCTCCTTCAATTGATACCCACGGCTTCACTTCTTCAATTTCATCGATTTCATGAATTTGGGACCTTGTTGTTTTGGGGGAAATTGAGGATTTCAATTCAAATTTTTTCAATTCTCTGTGGGGAGTCGGGGACGTGCATGGTGTTCAATCAATTGGGATTCTTGGTATTGGAATGGATTGAGCATGCTTCTATCTTACAGTAATTGGCCCTTTTTTTTTTTTAAGTTAAATTTAGTAACGTGCTGCTGAAAAAATTGGGGTGACTCCACCCCTGCTCATAGGAGTCTGCCTTTTCAACTTGTTCTCATTCTGAAATGCAACTTGACCCTCCTCTTCCATGCTAAAATGTCAGACATGCAGCCAGACAAAATAGTAATTGTGGATTTAATGAAAATTTCAATCATGTGTTCAATTTATAGAACTTTTTTTTGTATTCATTCACCAACATGTTTCATTGCACCAACCACGAGAATTGCAGGTGGAGTTGTTGTAACTGGTAATTGGACTACACAAAGTATAAAAGACATTTGGCCCATGTTCGGTCCCCATTTTCCAAAACTCATTTTTCCTTCAACCACATAGTTTATGATATCTACAACTCTTATCAACTTTTTAATCACATATTTCTTCAACTTTATCAAAATCCCCCCAAAATTTGATTTTTAGCTAAACCAAACAGGGGCTTAATGTCAACACCTGATCAGATGGTGGTATAATGTGTTTACTGATTGTTCCGCCCATCAAATTCTTCATTTTCCATTCAGTTGAACCCGCTCAAAGAAGAGTTTTCGCATCAATCGAGCTATGTGATTTAAGTAAGCTTTCTATGACATATATCAAATCAAGAATGACCTAACCGCCTCTATAGAAATTAAAAAATTCCAACTTCACATTGCTATCACATCAATCAAATTAGAGTATTCTAGCCCTCTAAATTTCACCTTTTGAGGGCATTGTGCAACGAGCCGAGCTTGGGTACCAGGCTTTGGTTCACAGGCCGGTACCCGGCTCTCTCACATTGGGGGGGTGGGTACATTTTTGGGGGGTTTTTTTATTGAGGTGGGTCCGCATCGGACCCACCTCATTGTGAGGGGAGGCCTTTACCAGGCCTTTACCAGGCCTGGTAAAGTCGAAACATCCTTACNCTTTACCAGGCCTTTACCAGGCCTGGTAAAGTAGAAAAATCCTTGTGCAACTGTTGGTTGAAACTTGAAAGATCACATTCTTTCATTAAAGGAGTGTAAGCTGGGAATATCTGAACTGGGAATTCGAAGATGAATTTTTTGAATCCTTCAGATTCTGATCTAGAATTGCTGGGGGAGGATCTTGGAAATTTTGCTGCCCGATTACACTAGTGTTGAGCTATTGAAGCATCATCAGAAGCTGTTGAAGTCCCACGTGTTCCTTCTAGTGACTGAAAGCTGGAATTAATGCCAGCAAATTCATTTTGATATAGTATCCATTCTGAACTCTCAATATCAGCTTGCATATCATTACGAATGTCACTTAATGGATAATCTTAAACTTAGGATCTTTTGGCTCTGGTGCCAAAATTGATGTGAAACTGCTTAAACTAGTTTGGATCCGTGGTGGTTTAACATAGATTGTGGCTCGGAGTCTACATAAAATGTTGGGATTGAATATGACCGAGAGGAAAGTGTTTGTGAGCAAAATCATGTCTGTTCATTAAATTGGGGTTGATTTGTCTAAATATGTTACTGTGAAGAGATGGACCTCACAGCACTGTATTTATGATACTGAAATCACAAGAAATTAGAGAGGAAGACTGACCTTTTGACAAGGCTTCTTTTTTGCATGGAGCTCATAACCTTTAAACTAGGCTTCCTGGTTCTTCTAATATTTGTATCAAGTGATTGATGATTCCTGGTGAACTCTTGATGCGAGACAACCATAGGCTGACTATTAGTGATAAACGAAATTTTTTTTCGATATATTGACGAAGAAAACATAGAGAACAACTACGGGTCTTTTTTTAGACACCAAAGCGTACTAGGTTTTCAAACTCTAATTCGGAAAAACTCATCGAATTACCAAACTTAAACCTTCAGCTCAAAAGAAATAAAAACTTGGTTGACAGCTGACTACAGATGTTATTGAATTAAAAATCCCGCACTAAAAAATGCTTAAATAAAATTAGATTAATTAGTAATGATCTACCTAGACAGGATTCATGAGTGATTTGGGCTTTATAATATTGCAAAGGAGCATGCAATATTTAAAGATTTTTCCTTCGAACTTGGATTTCCTAGAGCATTTTTTACGCAAGAACGTGACAATTTGACAACAAACGAAAAAATGAACAAGAAAGAAATGGGGATCAAAGAAGAGAAGAATTTATGGCAAGAGAAATAAAAATATTCAGATATTCAAGGGTGTCTGTAAACTAAAACCTAAGCACCTTTATATAGAGAAAGGTCTTTCAAACTAATTAATCTTTCAATCTAAACAAATTTGTAATGAAAGATAATATTGATAAATATCAAACTCCTAACATAAAACTACTAAGATCTATATGAACTCAAATTCTACTTCTTTTTAGTCTATTTCCTTGAATAGACTTTTAGCTGCTTCCTTGTTGCATCACTTTTATTGGCTAATATACTCCCCTGGTGGGATAAAAAAAAATTGTCCTCGAGTTTTTTTAAGTATGACAACTGAATAAATCCCAACAAATGATGTTGTTGTATTCTTTGAACCCATAAAAACCAGCAAGGAAGCTAGTGACTAAGGACTTCATCAACATATCAAACCTGTCAGGCCTTAGGCTCTATTGGACCTTTCTCCGCTTTTTGTTGACCAGCAAATTTGACTTCCTACTAGGTTCAAGTGAGGGCCTTTCACCTGAATAAAGTTTTGCTCAGGTAATTGACTTCTAAGATGGGCAACTTCAGGAGAAAAAGAGGCATTTATCCATTACACGGATGGTGTGCTTCCATTCCTTCCTATATATTTCATTTGTCTCAGTCTAAAGAGAAAGACATGTGATTCAAGAAAATAAATCTGTGCTTGTGAAGTTGCAGTAATAGAAAGCATCAAGTCTAAATTAGAAGAAGAATTTGAATGTTCTAATTCTCTCTGGTCACACGAGTGTTTTCATGCCCAATAATTCCTTTCTCTAACTAAAATTTACCAATTTATGAAGACATCTATCCTTTATGGTGAAGAATTCATGGAACTCAAATCATTTTCTTAAAATCCTTCCTTGGGAAAACACTCTTTTGGCAATGATGGAGTTGAAAGGACAACAGAGAACATAAGGTTGACCCCAGCTTGTAGGCATGATAAAATCCTGCAAATGGAGCCAAATTGATGTAGGGAAAACTTAGGGCCGAAATATCATGGTAAAAAAAGGAAACGGATCTGAATATAGGCACAGAAAACTGAGAAGAAAAAGAATAAAGAGCAGAGAAACTAGCGATTTGCAACACAAGGGTTTTTGACAAAATATCATACAACATAAATTATGTTCAAATACCAAACATGACTTTAAAGCCCTAGAAATAAAAACTCCCATGTAAAGGAAGTATCTTCGATATATCATGGAAAGAATAACTAAATTGAGAATATGCAAAAGAATTATCTTCTACATATGACATGAATTTATGGTGAAATTGCAAAAAATGGGTTTACTTGAAACAATTCAGGAAAAAGTCAAAAAGCTGATTCATAATACTCTAAATGGGTGCAACTCAGGAGGATTTGAGCTCTAGAGTATTGTCAAAGAGTCTTGAATAGTTTTAAAGATTTTTTCTGTAAAGTTGCTTTACTAGGGCACTTTATTGGGTATAGAAACTATTTGGCTATGTCTGCTATAACTGACTCCTAAATACTCGTTTTTCTTGAAGGGCACCAGCAGGACAAAATCCTGAAGGAAAACCCAAATATGTTATTCGTCCGTAAGTTCGCATAATCATACTTTCCCATGCTCTACCCCCACTTTCCCTTTTGTTATATATAATTATTAGCATTCAATTTGTGTGTGCTAATGTGTGTTCACTTACATGATATTAAATTCCTCCCTACATTTACTTCCCCTGATGTTAATAATCTGTCTTCACTCGTTCTTGATACAATTTTTGGATGTACAAGTAGGAAGGGAAAAAAATTGTTCATACTATTCTGTTCTATATCATTGATCTTGATATTTCAGTATTGTTATTTTTAATTATTCTCACATTCAACCAACCATCTTCATTTCCGTTTTGGAATGTCTGTAAATTTTGAACTCTTTTTAAATACTTGATTACTTCCTGAGATTCGGAGAATACCACAAACCAAGACAAGTAAATCTGGAAAAAGGGTTGTAAAATTTTAAAATTATGAATTGAAAATTTTAATTTGTATGCAGAAGGCACAATTTCGAAATTGAAAATAAACCATGTAGACCTGTGAAGTTCTATCGAATGCTAGGTTTTGAGAGATGATTTATTAATTTTGCCAAATCAATAATATTCAGGAGCTTGTTCATTTCAGTTATACACCTATATCGGATCCAGATGCCAAGGGATACTTTGATTTATTAATTAAGGTATGGGTTGTCTGTCTAGTTTGCTTTTATATCTGGTAATCTTTGTTTAATTATATTGTTGTTCTCTTCATATGTAAATATTTTGTTTATGGTCATGTCTTAAAATGCTTTGGAAACTTCACAGGTGTATCCAGAAGGTAAAATGAGTCAGCATTTTGCCAGCTTAAAACCAGGAGATGTCGTAGAAGTGAAAGGGTAAGTTTTATAAGATTGACTATCAGGCAAGAGTCATTTTAGTTATAATCATACCAATGCGGGGTGCCTCTTTTTGTTGTCTTGCAGACCTATTGAAAAGCTCAGATACAGTCCCAATATGAAGAAACATATTGGCATGGTAAGATCATGATTTTAAAAATTTACTGCAGAACATGGTATACTTTGGAATCAAGATACAAATAATAAAAGAAAGAAACAAATCGAATTTGGATCATGACCATGTAATTTCAGAAACTTGCTCTACAAATGTAAATTCTGGAATAAGCTGCGTCAAAAGTTGATATCCTTGGCAAAAACCTCGTCACGTGTATGTGCAAAACACATGGAACGCTGCGGATCACATAAGTGTGAGAATTTAAGAATCAATTACAATTAGCCCTTGTTTGGTCTCCCAATATTTTCAAAATACATTTTTCTCTCTCTTATTTTCAACCATACATTTTTCAATAAAATAACATCACATGCAGACCCAAAACTGTTTCTTAGTTTTTTACCGCATATTCTCCATCAAAATACTATTCCAAAATGCATTTTGGGCGAAAAAATGGGGCTCAAACAGTCTCTTAATGTTTGAATTTAAACTCGAATAACAGTTGAAGGTGGGGGTTTATGTCGAAGTATGTGTTCAGATTTATCATTCTACACTTGCGAGTATTAATGCTGTCTGTTATTTTCCCATAAAATCCATGTGATCCTTGAACTTCTTTTTAATCTTTCAAGCTACAGAGCTTCTGTCTTTGTTTTCGCACAATAATATGAAATTTTTAACTTTATTTACACTTTAATTGATGTTCTTAAACCAACTAGTCCAGATTGTCATGTACAATTTAGAAGCAGATCCTCACGTCTAAATTATCCACCTTCAGTATAGTAAAACTTCTCTACAGTCATAATGTTGGGACCAAACTAATTTTATTTCTATGAGGGCGTTATAACTTAGCCCCTATTTGATGGCCATTATTTGGGAAAAAAAAGTATTGAATAGTGATTTTTAGGAAAATGTGCGGTTAAAAGGAGGAAAAAAATTGGATATACATGTAGAATATTTTATTTTATGATTGTGTGGTTGAAAATGTGTGTGTAGAAAAAAGAGTGTTCAAATGATGGTTGTCAAATAGGGCCTTAATAGAAGTGTAGTTACAAACATTACTGTTTTGACTTAGTTATCCTTAGTGCTAGTGGTATGGGGTGAAGTATGAACTACATGAATAATTAATTAGAGCATGTCAAAACAAAGGTATAGACATTATTTCAAAAGACTAGTACATGTATCTATTCGTGTTGGAAATATGCGAAGTTATCTTAAATGTTTGATGTAACATAGAATATTTTTTGTCTCAAAACAACTTTAGATAAATATTTTATTTCATCTTAAACCTTTAATATAACCTAGCTTATATTTTTTGCATATACCAATAATTATTACTATGTGGAGGGAAGTTCCTTAAGATGGGGCCGGGCCTAGAAAAATTATAACTTCTTATGATATGGAGTTTATTCTTATTTATAACTGGCCCAAGCTAGGACCAAATTTTTTTCCGACTGTGGAGGTTATTATATAGAGTATCAACTACAGAGAGGTCCTACTCTATCTAAGTCTATACAAACGATAAGTCATATTCTATTATGTATTTTATCTTATACCAACATCCTTTGTCTTGATTTTTCTTTTTGGAAAAAAGAATAAACCAAATCTGTAAGTATCTCCATATATAGTGTGGTAATTGGTGAATACAATCATAATGCTTTCAAATTGGTATAACGAACTATGCAGTTTACATCAGTTTTTTGAATTTACACTTTAAATTTTATATTCAGGTAGCAGGAGGCTCTGGCATCACTCCGATGCTTCAGATAATAGATGCTATCCTTAAAAACCCTGATGATAATACCCAGGTAAGAACAATTATTTAATCTTCTTTTTTTGTTTTTTCACGTTTAAAACTTGAGTATTTAACGTCACAGCGTGGGCTGTATTTCAATATTATAAGCATGCTTTCTTAACATCATATTGGTGATTAATTTTTACCCTGTAGGTGACATTGCTCTATGCTAATGTATCTCCTGATGACATACTTCTCAAAAAGAAGCTAGATGTACTTGCAGCTAAGCACCCGAACTTGAAGGTGCTTCCAGAATCATCACATAAGCATTACTATATGTTTTGAATTTTTTTCTTTTATCTTCTGTACTGAAATATCCTTTGTGTGTGAAAGGTATTCTACACTGTTGATAACCCAACAAAAGATTGGCAAGGAGGCACGGGTTACATATCAAATGACATGGTTAAGAAAGGATTGCCTGGCCCTGGTGATGACACACTTATTCTTGTAAGCTCTCTCTGCTATGCATACGATTCTCTTCTTCTCAAACAAAATTATCAACATATCGGAATTAAATTAGATCTGCCAGCTAGGTTACTGCAAAATGATAATTTTAAAAATAATTGTGACAAAAAAAATAAATAAATCAATGGTAATATGATGCTGTAAAAATAAAAACCAAAAACCAAACCCTTATCGAATAAATTTGGGGTCACTTTGTGATTGGTTTGCTGCTGTGTTCAACCAATTGCTACATCTATTAAAAAATGAAGTAATCAAATCTTCTGTAACCACGTCTTGACTTGAAACCAATTTAATTTTGCTTTCTTTCTCTTTTAACTTATTCTACTGGATTGCATTGCTCCTGTATGAGAACTTCTTTTTGCACGCATACTCCTACACCATATTCATCATTTCCTTGAATTTATCCTTGATTGGTTCCACCTCTACTTATTGCTATCATTGATTATATTCTTATAATTAGTGAAGAATTTCTGCGTTCTGGGACATTCTCTAAATTCGCAAAATCATTGCTGTGTGTAATTTATCTTTTATAGATCATGTAAATGTTGATAACATGAACACATAGTCGTTTCCAAAAATTAAAAACATAGGAACTCGAATCTTTCCAAGAGTCTTGGTTTCAACTGGTGAGGTTGGTGGGAAAATAATTGACTTAAACTAGGTAGAAAGGAAAAAAAAAAACATGAGTTGGGATTTGGGAGTCTTAAAATCGGTTGTTGGTAATTCGAATTTATCTAACTGAATGATGAAAAATCTTCCATCTCTTTCCTATATTACTAGCCTGCCCAAGTAATGAAAGACATTTATATTTTTTCATGGTGTTTGATTTTCCATTAACCTTGGAGCTGGATTGATTCTATTACTACATCTTTTACGGAACTTCTGTTCATTTTCCAGGTTTGTGGTCCTCCTGGAATGATGAAACATATATCCGGTGACAAGGCAAAAGATTATTCACAAGGAGAGGTATATTTTATACATCTTTAAGAAAAAATGATTCTCCAAAATTTCTCTCCTCTTCCAGTCTTTAATGATATTACATTTTTTCCTCCCTTGCAGTTGACTGGCATACTCAAGGAGCTTGGATATACAGAAAACATGGTATACAAATTTTAACTCACTGAATCAATGTGTTGCATAGGCACTTATCCTCCATTACTTCTGAGTAATAATACGAGTACACAGAGTAATAATTTCTGCGGGAAACATCATATTTTGATACACAGTATGAATCAATTAAGTCGTTTACAATCTGGTTTCCCTACTCCTTCTTTTCTGCTTTTCGATCTTTTAATTTGGTTGGTCTTCAGAAATATTTGGATGAGTTATTGACATTATGCAAGACTAGTAATACACATCAATGATATGTTTGGTATGGTCTTGGAGTCATTGATAATATTAATGAAGATAATCTTGAAATATATGTTTGTGTATTACTGTTTTGTTGAGTCTAATCGTAGAACTGTTATATTTTCACAATTCAGTCAAATAAAATGATTGATTTGGTGAAAAAAGGTGAAGTTTGAGTTTTTATTTTTAAATAAATGTAGTTAAACCTATTTTTAAAAATTCAAACAAAATATTTCTCATATTACTAGAAATAACGTTCAATATCTGCGTAAATGCACGATCTTTTTTGGTGCATTTGCCTCTAACCTATGAAGTTTTTGCGAAATGGTCCATAACCTTCAAATCTTGACGCAAATATTCTCGACCTTTCACTTAATAATCGTAATTGGTTCTTTTGATGATTTTCATTCAATTGATTGTTAAAAATGTCAAAATTTTTATATGAAGATTAAAATGTCCCAAATTGTACTTAAATAAATGAAATGAAATAATTATAAGAACTTATCCTACCAACCAATTCCTAATAAGAGCATTTCAAATGTAATCACTTATATAATAGAAATTATATTAAACCCCAGCAATTAAAGATGTCCCCAACTTATAATAATTTAAAAGAGGTCCACGCTAATTTTTCTTGATTAAATTTAAATTTAAGTGATTATAAGTTGTAAACCTCGTGTTTTTAGGATTTAGTGAAATGATCCTACCTACAATGAAGATTTAATCTGATTTTCATTTTACTTATTATTTTTTTATTTGACTACAATAATGGTTATTTTGGTCTTTATATCAAAATTTTGACCTTTTGATCAGGGATAATTATATTCACACTATAATTTTTATTTTGTTACACCGCATTTTAATTAAACTTAAAGTTTTCAATCTTTACTCATTATTATATTTATGTCCCTGACGATTTTTCAAGGCATTTTTTGTCCTCAAACCTTTCATTAGTTAACACATTTTGTATTTGATAACAGTTTATGTCCAAAAATTTCGTTGAAATAATACGTAACAACTTATTTTTCCTTCATTTCAAAACATGGAAACAAAATATTTTGACATAAATTATCAGGGGCAAGATATACTAATTAATAGAAGATTAAAGATAAGAATTCAACCAAAAAAAAATGTTACAATAATTAAAGATTGAGGAGCTTAATTGTAATTAAAATATGTATAACAAATAAAAATTGTGGTGCCAACACAGTCCCCTTTGATCATATAAAATATTACATTAGCATATATATAGAGGAAAACTGCCCAATTTTCATAGTTTACCCCCAAGGAGCAATCGTAGTGCAGGAGCAGCTATTGATCATATAATCTGTTTGTGAGAGAGGATGAGTGGTTTGCAAAGGTCAGAAATATCCTTTAGAAGACAAGGTTCTTCAGGGTTGGTTTGGGATGACAAGTTAAATTTGGAGGTGAAGAAGAAAGATGATCACAACAACAACAACAAACGAAATACAGAATCAAAACCCGAGATTACATGCAGTCGGTCGAACGAAGGGAATATATGTCGATCTAGGATAGTTACACCAGCAGTCGAACCACCATCTCCTAAGGTCTCTGGTTGCTGTGGCATATTTGGGAAGCCAGCAATGTCTTCCCAGAAACAAAAACCTACTCATCGTAAGTTATAGTTGCTCTGCATGCTGTTTTTGTTGTTTGTGTGAAATAAAAACATTTTTAGTTGATGAAAAAGCTGCGTCTTCTCAACCAAATTTAGTTATTGATCAGTTCTTGTATAATAGTTATGTGTTGTATATGTATTTATGAAAAAAGTTCAATTGCATTTAGTTTAACACAAAATTCTCCTAATATCGAATCGAATTTTTCTATCTTTTTTTTTTATTTTTTGTCGGTTGTTGATGGATTTTGATGTTTATGGCAAGATCAAAATAAAGATTCCTATCAGAGTGAGAAGAAAATATGTGAGGATTAGAGCATGTGATCAAGTCGTTAATTCATACGTACTGTTTTATTTGGAAAAATTTGTGCACATCTTGCCCCACGACTTTCTATTGCGTTCTCCAAATCCCGAACTCTACCTTATGTGAGATTTAAGTTGAGTTTTAGTACCACTTGAGCAAATTGCCTTGAATTGTAAGATAGAAATAAAAGAAGACATTACAAAAGAGAAGAAAGTGAAAGTGAAACAATTCAACAGTCTGTATCTTCACAGACGTGTCTATTTCATCGAGTCTCTCTTCGAAACAATGTCCTGATCATTACGCCTTTTGTGCACGTAGGCACTTATCCGACAAGATCGCCAACTCATCTATCATCGGGTCATCAACTTTCTTGACCTTTCGACATTGATCACTCCATTGTATAGAGGCTAATCCTGGTCAAGAAATCGAAGGTTGAAGACTAACCAATACGTCAATAAGTGGTTGGTCGTCCATCATTTCCCGCAATTTTTGACTAAAATTGTAGAATTTATGAAAATAATTATTAGATTAGATAGCAATCCACTTTATTAAGATATATGGATAAGAGATCAAATATTTTTCAATAAAAGAAAATGGTCGTTTTCAATGTGACAGATCATTCAACAACTAAACAACATTTAGCCATCTGACCTCATATTGATGTTTGAATAAATTTATAACTTATTTTTAAGTAAATTTTCTATTTGAATACATTACTTTTTCTGAAGTAGAAAGAGTTAAAGACCCTGTTTATTTGTAACGAATTTCATGAAAAATGTTACATTCGAGAAAAACGAATTTCACTTTGACCGTCTGATTGTAACGTGAAAATAAAAATCGAATTCCAAATTACAACCACTTTAAGCTGCATTTTCTTTGTTTTCATGGAAGACGAATTTCTATAAGCTTGGTGGATTTTTATTTTTCAACTAACATGAAATTGAAATTTCTTTCCACCTGTACCTATCAAACGGATCCTAAAAGTAATTTGTTGTCCAACTTAGATCAACAAAAATAATTCACTTTTAACGCTTATTTAATTATAAGTAAGTTTTTTATAAATAAAAAAAATAAAATTGGCCAAAGATCTTAATAAAATGCATTTCTTCTTTTAAAACTGTTTATTCAAAGGATGAAAGGATAGACTATGAACTTTTTCTTGCATTCAACGTTCAAAGATTCTTAATTTATTATATCGAGTTGTATTTCTGCATGATCAATGGTTACCTTCAATAATTGATGCAAAATAGGTGGGAGAATTGTATTGATCCTCGTGTAGGTGTATTACCATTTGATTAATTAAAATTCGACTCAATATTTTAAGAACTCTGCTTGGTGTACCGGGTCAGGGTGACAAACACCCTGACCGGCCCCTCACATCAGGGGGGCCCCACATTTTTTTTTTTCAATTTTTTATACATGTGTGGCCCAATATCATGTGAGAGTGTGTCAACTTTTTTGTCAAATTTTTTTTGTACAAGTATCTTTGTTGATATTTTAAGGTATGCAATTGCATAAAACCCTTTCAATTTTCAAACTATCATTATTTGTAATTAGCAATATTAAAAATATAAATAGTCTAATAAACTTAATTTATTGACATAATCTTTTCAATAAATAAAAACTAATAAATATATTTAAATTAAATATTAATGAAAAAAATTTGTTGAAAATAAAGTAAAATTAAAATATAGCTC